TATGTACACAGACGTAGAAGCCTGCCGCGGCCGCCATCTCGCTCCATGCGGGTCGCTCGCCCAGAAGGCCGGCACTCACCAGGGAGAACGCGAGCGAGGAGGAAGTACGCTCGGGCGAGACTGGGTCCGAAGCGAGGGAGAGGGAGCGGGCAAAGGCAACTGTCCCTTCCTCTTCCCCGCCCACCTCCTTTTCTCCCTTTTCAGCCGCCGCCGCCGCCGCCGTCGCCAAGTCGGAGAGGGCCTGGACCAAGCGAGCCAACACCTCGGCACTGGTCCATGTCCGAGACCCCCCAACCGCATCCCCCGAAGGGAGGGGATGGGCCGCAGGTTTCTGTATGCCCGAAGGGGTTGGAGGGTGGTTCCATTGCGAGAAAAGTTGCTGGCGCACGTTCTCTTTCCCCAGGGGCGCGACTTGCTTTTCATTCTCTCCGCCGCCGTGCCTCGTCCCTCCTCGCCGCGTCCATGGGCCGGGCGCCACCGGTTCCGCTACCGCAAACGCGAGGACCCCAGCTTCCTTCTTCCCCTTCGAAACCGGGCTCTCGTCCCACCCCATCACCTCCCTTGCACCCACGTCCAACCGCAACCGTTCCGCCGCTTTCAAGGCCAAGAAGAGCGACGTCAACAACCCTTCCATGGGCCGATCCGATCCGATCCGCTGTGGGTCCGGCGTGTCCACCACCGACAAGTCGAAGGTGGAAAAACTCACGCGCCGCCGCGGCCTCCGCCTTCCCTCTCCATCGTGTCTGTTGCCTTCCCCCCCCGCCCGTCGCTCCCGAGGCAATCCCCCAACGGCCGATCCACCCTGCTTCTCCTCCCCTGATGCCTGGCTACTGTCCGACTCCAGGGGCGTGGCGGCTGCCCGTTCCGCTTCCACCAGGCGGGAGAGCAAGGTCATGATGGCCTCGGGAATGTGCCGTCTCGCCTTTTTCTCCAAAACCTCCCCAACCGTCCCTTCCCCAACATGGTACGAGGCTGATAAGCCGAGCACTTGCCCCAGCGCGTGTCGAAAAATCTTCCGAAGGGTGGAGGAGCATTCTTTGTCGCCCTCCCCAGCAGGTCCGCCCCACAGCCCCACCTGGCTCTTCTGCTGCCTCTCGCAGCGCTTCTTGATTTTAGGGCAAAGCGGGGGCGACGGCGTCACTGTCAGGACCGCGACAGGGGATGGCATGGTGTCACAAGCCTCGTTACTCGTCAGCGTCGAAACTTCCTCGCAGGGAGGTGAACTCTCTCCCCCAAAGCCGTCTTCCGGTGTATAAAGCGCCCCTCCCGAGACGCCCTCTGCTCCTGCTGCATCCGCGGCATCAGCCCTGCCAAAGCGGAGCAGCTTTGCTGCCATGTCCAGTATGTGTGACGCAATGGTAAGCTCGGCCCGAGGCAATTTGTGACGAGGTAGGCTGTATGTAAGGACAGGCGGGAGGAGTGCATGGTCAGTGAGGAACGTCACAAAACAAATAAAGGAGCACATGGCCTGAGCCTAGACTTCAATACTTCACGGACTCATGCACACAAGTGACATTCACATGGGGTCTGTTCTCGTGAGAAAAGTCGCACTGCTTTATTTTTCATGGAGTGATCAGAGTCTGCAGAAATGTGCACTTTGGAAGGATTTATCAAGGACGAAACCACACAACAATCCTCGCGCCCTGTCTGCGTTGATTGCACATTTCGTCCCGAACAGATTACACCACTAGAAAACATAGCACACGTATGATGGGCGCGCTAGAGCCATAAGCGAGAGTGGCAGTGCGTCTGGTGGCAATGCCATACAGAGCTCTTCCGCCTGAAGGTCAGGCATGTTCCTGGAAATATGGTTCTCCCGTCATGCACAACATATGGCAATATCCACGGGCATGTGCACGTGCCCAAGAACGAAAATATTCCCCTGGAAGACCCTATTATCGTGTGCTAGCCTGGCACTGCGTGCTTACGCGGCCCGTGTGCTCTATTTGTCTTGTGGTGGGCGGGGGACTTAAAACATGGCGCGAAAACGCCGACCAGAAAAAGGAGACACAGGAGGCTCGATGCCCGGGCTTCCGTGTGGTCTTGCCATGGCATCTATGCGAGTCTGACGTCCGTCCTGGTTGCCCCGTTTGCGTCACGCTTTTTTGGAATGATAGGGAGGCCTTGAGATCCGCTTGCTTGCCACTGGACGGCCCCTGCACCACTCCATCGTCCAGCGTGTTCTCCATCCTCGTGTCATCGGCAGAAAAAGGCGGCCCGCCGAGCGTGCACCACAGTCAACCAACACTATTCCATGCCTGCATTACTGGCTTCTACCCAACATCCTTCCGACCACATCCATCTACGGTAAGGGAACTGCGAGTTGTGGCTCGAAGTGTGATGATGCCGTCATGCCAGAAAATTTGAACAAGTTGATGTTTTTTGTGATATCGCCGCTACTTTGCTGGAGAGCGTGCAATAATTACCTCCGACATACCTACAAACAGATTTATTTTTGCTAACCATGATGGTGTATCTGTGGAGCTTTCAGTTCCGCTCGGCATAAGGGTGTCGGAGCTGAAAAGCCGCCTGAGGGAGGCATGGCCAGAAGAGCTGCATACCGACACGAGTAGTGGCGGTGGCGTTTCAAGCGGGAATCAAGGCACATGTTTTGATTACTGCTCGTGTAGCCCGGAATACGACGAGGAAGGGGAGGATAGGTCAGACTCAGAGGCGGAGGAAGACTACCAAGAGAAGGGCAGGGCAATACAGGCTGGGGTTAGTCCTCCTCGTATCAAAGCACCTGAGGTGGCGCGTCTCCGTTTCATTTGCATGGGTCAAGGCCTGCTCCGAGATACGTGTACATTACAAGGTAGGTAGGTAGTGGTAGCGGAGCGGAGGATTGGGGTGTCGACTGCAGGAATGCCCTCGATATCTCGCCAGCCAGAACTTTGCGCAGCTTTGTATTAAGGCTAGTGTGCTTACGCTGATTCTGCCAAAGTGGAGCCTTTTTTCTCATTATGTCGTCCATTGAACCCACAGAATGTCGCATTCCTTGTTTCGACACCCACCCCACGCCTGTCAACGTCTCCATCCGACCCGCCCCGCCGCGTCCTCCTCGACATGGAGATAGAGAGCATGGACAAAAAAAGAAGAAGAAAACACTTGGTGAAGACGTGGGGGGACTTGATGGGACACGGGGTTCGTCTTTGCCGACAGCATGTGTGTCTTGCAGTATCATGTAAAAAACAAGGGGGTTCGACACACATGACGGGATTAGACTGGAGGGGGAGGGGGCCTGCTTGGTGAGGTCCTTCGCGGGATTGACTGATCATATGAGCTGGCGCTTACGTGCTATCACCGAGCACATTGGAGACGCTTTTGAAACCTGATATCAAATTTGTACAAGCCTGGCACCGTCATCTCAATTTATACGCCAGTCTTGAAATCTGACAGTCACTCGGATGAAATCTTGTAGCTCTCTACGGAAACTACAGACTCCATGTTGTTAGTTCATGCGTGGAATATCAAACAATCTATGTCGTGAATTTCAGACCACACGAACCCTCGGGCGGATGAGATACACAGCATTTTTTCCTTCCACTCGACGGGTAAGCAACCTCCCTGCAAAACATTATCGACATGAATAAGATCTTGCGATTTGCTTGCTTTCTTTGTTTAAAATGGCTGTCCCTTTGTCATTGTTTGCGTTTTAAGTTACTCTGGACATCACTTATGCAAGAGGTGGGGAGGTTACATTTTCCACCTGTGTATCCCGCCCGGTATCAGCCCCGTCCAAATGTCGCGCTCTGCGGGAACAAGTGAGTGTACGGCAGTTTCAAAGGATAGTGTTCATCCGCATGTACATCGATCCTTCTTGATGGGGAACAAGCACGTTCAGCACCGATCACTAAGAAAGGACCACGCCGCACAAATGAATGCGGAAGTCCTCTTCTTTCAAATTTAATAATCTGCACATAATGAAAATGATTACAACTGAGAGGAATGTAAAGATCTATAGGAGATCGGGCATATGCCACCTCTTGAGCAATTTAATTTGACCGACGCGAACAAAAGAAATAGGATGGCGTCTCTCAAACCGATGTAGTAGTCGACGAATTTTCAACTGCACACTGTTTGTTACTTTGTGAGCGCTTTCCGCTTTGATAATTGTGTCTGGAATCATGCAAATAAAGATTTACTGACCTTTACGCGAACTTCTTACAAAATATCACTTTGGCAGGACGCGTGTCACGACGGAATACAACAAAAGGGAGGCCGCGATGCGTCGGTCCCCCAACGGTACGGCCCACGCATCGAAGGAGAATAATTGATCTGAAAACAGCTACCAACATCTCAGGATGAGAAAAGTGGAAGCATATGGCTTTGCGGGGTGGATTGGCACATTTGTGGTTTCTGGTACGTCTTGATGACATTTTTTCGCGTTATCGACCTGCATCTCCCTTCCTGCCTAGATCACACACCCCGTTGCCTGGGGTCAGGTCCCCACAGGTATCTGCAGCGTTATTTTTGACGTTTGGGCCAACATCTTTGTCTATGCACATGAACAGGGCTCTTTCTCATGTGGGTTTACATTCCGGAGGCCTGGCTTCATGCAATGGGCGTCACCTATTACCCGCACAAGGAGTGGGCCCTCTCATTACCAGCTTTCCTGTGCGTCTCGTACGCGCTCTCCAGCATTGTGTACGTGGCATTGAATCTAATGAGTACGCCGCCGCTGCATTCATACGAGACGATCACAGACCGATGGGCTCGAAGGCCGCAGACATGCCTCAATAGTGAGGTGCCAGGGCGAAGTGATTCACCTTCAGTGCCGTATTTCGCCGATTTGGACATTGGGGTTGTGAATCAGTATATGTACACAGACGAGTGTTGCGAAGTGACCAACGCGGACAATTGAAAAGGCGAAATTTGGCCAGATGTTGGTGGTGTGTGAATGCAGATGTACGGGTACAGCCCATCTGGCGATATTCACGAATATGCGCAGATATGAATGAGGTCCCTGGACCAAGCATCTGACGGAGATCAAGAAAGAATTTCTGTGCATCGAACGTACCTTTGAACGCAAAAAACGAGACGCACGATTGCCGTCGCCCGATTTCACTTCACCATCGAAGTACTGTCCGAACAACAATGCACCAGAAATGTACATCCACACTTCCAAACCCGTTTACCTCTTCCTTCTCCGTTTTTTCTTCCTGCGCAAGCCTTTCACCAGTCGCGCGCCTTTCTCTCCTCCGATTGTCAAGTCACCTCCTCTCAGCTCCCCAAGACGTCCACGACTCCCCTTGTCGCCGTCCTTCCTTAACCACGCCCGCAGATCCATTGCCCATTGCCTCATTTGGAGGGCCTTTGTCTTCCCCCCCTTCCGCGACCTTCGCGCTTTCTTACATGCCTAACCCTCTTTGCCCCATCCTTTACCAATGGTGCTATGTCTGCCATCTAGAGTTTTCGCTTTTCTTACGCTCGCGAAATGGACAGCAGTCACAGCGCCACATTCCCCCGGCGCCCCCGCGTCATTTACATACAAAGATAATTTCGAGCACACGCTCATTTAAATGTTTGTGAGTCTTCCCTCAGCAGTCACGTCACACCGCCGCCACCCTCTCAACCCTCCGTTCCTTACCCCGTCCTCGCTGTCTGGGCTCTTTGTCCTTCTCTTCCACGCCCTACCCCACGATCCGCGCCAAAATCCTTCCCGTCGCTCTCCCGCGATACATCCTACTTGGCCAGGTGGGCGAAGTCCGATGGGAGGTCCTGCGGGTGGAAGTACTCGAGGAGGGCCGCTTCGTCCTTGAGCACGTGCACCTTGTGCTTAGTCCGCTCGTCGATGAAGGGGTAAATGACCGTCCAAAACACCCGGAAGACCCAGTTGCTGTTGACGATGAGGAGGGTCTGCAAGCACTCTGGATAGTACTCCTGCCCAGGAATTAAGGGTGGACCGGCGAGGGTCGGGGTTGAGGGAAGGGCACAGGCAGCAGGAGGTAGGAATGTGAGCTACGCTCATCTCGGGGGACGCATACGCGCAAGGCACGTGCAAGCGCTCCGTACCCATTCTTGGCCCACCTACCTTCATGATATGAATTATACCCGGCTTGTGTGTGGCTAACGCGGTGTCTAAATTGCGGAAACCTTGCCCTTTACAGTCCCATATGGCGGTAATGTAGCCAGTCCCCGAGGTCTTCACGGACCGGGAGGTAGATGTCTCCAGTACCCATATCGTCAAACGCAACATATCCTCGAAAGGAAACTGGCCTGGAACATGGTTGCGTGTGCGTAAAATGACGCATGTGCGTCCGCTCTTGTCCATTCCGGTGACGGAGACGGTCTGTACCGCAAGCTGAGGGGTGACGCTTGCTTCGTCGATCAATTCTGGTTTCTCATCCTCGCGCCAGGCGGCCCATCCTTCCCATAGCACATAGGCGTCATCTACATTCAAGTGCCTTGCGAGTAGCATTCGGGAGAGCACGGCGGGAGAAGAATGGTGGCTTAGGGTAGGGTGTTGCGCGATCTTGGCTCCTAGTTCCGCCATAACGTCCTCAGGGACGGTCATGTTTTGCAAATCGACAGTCATCCTTTCCTTTCGTTGTGTCGCAGCTCTTTATTCTTTCTTGTCTTGCACGGTCAACAGTCCTGTTTGAATTGGGGAACAGGCATTCGATGTGAAAAAGCGCAGGTTTTACAATGCAAAAATACCATACAGCGTAGCTGCAAGTATCTTGATCTTTGCCACGCTGATTGAAATTTAAAAGACGCTCTTTATCTGGAAGAATACCCCGTTTCACAGGGAAAAATTATAGACACAATCTAGTCGCAACCAGGTCACCCAGATCTCGTGCTCGTGCTCGTGTTGGGTTGGACAGTGCCGCCATGGCCCTGGAAATATTTCGGCCCAGCGGGTTTGCTCTCCCCGCTCGCTTTTGGCGAGGCCCGCCCCCTTGCCGCAAAACGAGCACAGCCCTCGGTTTTAGCGGGGCGATGGGCCACATATGTTCCTGGCAAGGTGGTGGAGGTGTGGGAGCTATGCATCGGGTAGAGGATCGACGGCCTTGGATGCATAATTAGTGCCCTGAAGCGTGCCGAGGCCGAGTGATAAAAGTGATATGATGCTGGCACCAGTACTAGATGCACTTATGATATGTCACGTTGATTGAAAAGGATCACACAGGAAGAGGAAAACCCGACCTGAAATGTGAACCATAATTCCTATAAATTATTTTGCTTGATTTACATGTGCCGTGGCACTTGATCTTCGCGAATTTGTGAAACATTTCCCCCGTCCACTTCAACGTGGAATCCTACGTCTACTTTCATCCAAAATTGAAGGCCGCTAGCTGAAGCTCATTTTTCTTCTTCGCCTGCTGTTTCTTCTTCTTCTTTCCCACGGTCGTGTTGCCGCCGTTCGCGTACGGGGTCTCCTCCTCCTCGGCGTCCCGAGCCACTTTGCCAATCCAGCCCCCGCGGGGTCCGTGCGATCCCCCGCTAGCGCTCTCACTAGCGCCCGACAAGGCGGGGAAATTATCGTCTGTCCGCGTCGCAACGACAGGAAGGCCCAGGCCGGGCGGCGCTTCTCGCGGGAAGGCAACATGCGTCAATGGCGGTGAAGGAAGGCCGCCTCTGTCCACTCCGTCTCCCCGAGGACCAGGGCCTGAACC